CATTTAGGTTTTTGTACATGCAATCTCATTAATACATGGGTAATATAATAAAATGAATATGGAACAAATCTATTGGATCAATTTTCAAAAATCAATGCAGATAAAAACCTATTTTGTTTTAATGATCATTATCTTTTTTTTCTCTTTATTTGACCCATGTTCCAATCAATCTGAAAAAATACATCGAACCAATAGCGATTATACAATCGTTGAAAAAAAATAACATTCTTCTATGAGCAAATTTGATGAAAAGTTCATGAGCTAAATTTTTCGCTGACAATAACGACAATCGGTGAACAATAAATGTATATATATATACGTGTGTCTATTTTCGTGTTAACACTTCACAATTTGAAAAAAAAAATGAGTCAGTCTAACGTTGATTTGTCTGACTTACCAAATGAAATATTGTTGAATATTTTGAAGAAACTAGATAATATTAGTGTTTTGTACTCGTTATTTGGTGTTATCGATGAACGATTTGACAGTCTATTACAAGACAATATTTTTACAAACACTCTGAATTTACTCAAAAATTCAGCTGATGTTAATTCTTCACTTGTCAATCCAATGCTTGATCAATTTTGTATTGATATATTACCAAGAATCCATTGCAATATCAAACATCTCATTGTTGAGTCAATGTCTATGAGACGTATTCTTCTGACTGGCACCTTTCCAAATTTAACGCATCTCAAGGTGTTTAACTTTGGACGACATATCGCTTTAAAGTATTTTACAGGTAAATACCCAATATATTTATATATGGAAATAAAAAACATATAAAACTATTAAAATAAAATCTGACGAATGATTTAATTGTTTTTTTACTTAGATCAGTCAACCTTTCAACATATTTTCAAACATCAAATAACAGAACTTATTCTTGAAAATAATGATCAGGATGAAGTGACAATATTATTAAGAGAATATACTGTAAATGTTTATGCACGAATCTTGACTTTCTTCGAAAATTTAAGACATTTAAGTATTGTTGAAGCATCATCCATTAGTGAATATCCACCTTTCTCACTACGTCATTTACCATCAACTACTTTTTTTTCTTCTATTCTTACAAAATTATGTATCAATGTAGAAAATATAAATGATTGTTTTCGTTTACTTGATGGTCGTCTTAAACAATTGACAACATTCATTGTTCAAATTGGGTCTGCCGACGATGAATCACCGATTGTTCATCATATTGTAAGTTACTAGTAAATCGAGAGTATGTCGTTCTAGATCACTTAGCACATTCAACGCGATTGGATTTTATTAGAGAGTGGCTCTACAGGCTCATTTTGATATGCATTCGTCTGTCAACAAATGCACTCATTGGCCTTTTCAATCTGTTCTGGCTTGTAGTTGTCTCTTTTCTGTTTGTAACATCACGCAGAGCGAAGTAACCATTCTGTAGTTTCGCTAAAGTTTCTGAAATCTTTAGTGCATGGCGTGCCATTCGAGAAGCTAAAATCTAATCCGAGACAAAAATTAGCAACCTATTCGGAGTGCAAACTCACTGGTCACAAATTCAAAGAAAAGGAAGGATCTGCGAGCATTGTCTGAAAGCGCTGTGCTAGCTGCTATGAGAACATCAGACATCAACAGTCAAGAGAACGAAGTAATGCGACTGCAAAGAAAATAAAAACCTTCTATTCTGATAGTAACAAATATTTTTGTCTTGATTATTTCAACGAGAAGTACTATGCTATGCAATAACTAATTCAAACAACAGCAAGGCAAAGCAAATGACACATTTCGCGTAATCTTCTGCCTAAGAAAAAAGAAAAAGAAAGTGATTTTCTATTAAGTTCCTTGTTAAAATATAGCGAGTCCCACCGGTGGGACCTATCGCGTCGAATGTGTTAATAAATAATTCGTATTGGAAATAATTAGTTGAATGATTGAAGACAAACTTTTGTTTAAGAGACATCTATCAGAGTTTTTTTATGTGTGTTAAAAGTAATAAATATAGAATTGATCGAAATTCTATAGACAGTATTTTTCTTGTAACAGATATATGATGATTTTTGTCTTAAGATGTCCGAAGTATTCTATTAATAAGTATCGTACGTAGGTGTTACCGTAAATAGTTAGAAAAATAAAGCAATTGTTTTATTTTTATTGCAAAACATCCGTTTCACGTTAAATATAACAAATATTTAAAATAGTTGAAAATGAATTATAGTTTATATCATTCGTTCTTGTGAACTTTACCGTGAAATTAATCGATAAACATGTGTTTTTATTTTTTAGAACGATCAACCTAACTTGAAATGTTTTTCATTAGCATGTTATCATGAAATTAATGCATATGACAATAAAGTGATACCTCTACTGCGTCATATGACATACTTGGAAAAATTAACTTTGTATATTCGTATTTTGAATCGATCTACATTTGTTGATGGTACTGATTTCCATAAAGATATTCTTATATATATGCCACGACTTTATACATTCAGTTTTTATATTGCTACTGATATTGAATTCGATGATTCAGTTCATCATCTATCTGATAATGATATTCAACAAACTTTTACAAATATCGGTTATCATCAAATAGCCTGCAGTGTTTATTATTTTCGTAGAAAGAGGGCAATATGTCATGTTTTCTCACTTCCATTCATATTTGATCGTATCGAAAAGATTACCAATAAGTTTCCAAATGTAATATTCAATCATGTTACATATCTGATGGTAGGTGATTTGATTCCATTCAAATATGAATTCTTCATTCGAATTGCCAAAGCTTTTCCATCATTGAAGTATTTTTCTATTATCAATATTACGTCACCATTATGGAATTTTGAATCCTATACAGCTGATAATATTGATTCATGTTCATATATTGAATATCTGAATCTTACTTCACTTACTGTTAATTATGTCGATAATTATTATATTGAACAATTTTTACTTGATACAAAGACATATGCACCTCGTTTAACTGAAATCAAAGTACATTTTGATCGATTGCAAGCTGTAACAGAGAATTTTACAAGAGATGCAACACGATACAACTGTCGCAATATAAAACGATTAATTTTTGAAAAGACAATCAATTATTCAAAAGAATTGTATCTCTATTTTCCTTCACTTGTAGATTGAAATTTGTGTAAGTAAAAATGAATAGTGTAGGAATTTTTTGCTGTATCTTTCTCAATATAAATAAAGAATGAAGTTCGATAATTATGTATGACATAATCTGAATATCAAAAAATGTTCATTCATCATCATG